TACGATACGAATGTGGATGTACTACGTAAACTGCGTTCCTACTTACCTCGTAGCAATGTATCATGGTTGAGGTTCAGTCGAATCATGAAACCTCTTCCTCAGCATTTTCCACTCCTATATGTACTGCGTCTCATGGAGTCGACCAGGATGGTGTCTTCTTCTCAACTGTCCACGTTGCGTACGAATTTGCTGATTTTATCTCCATCTGATACATCTCTTATGGTATCATTGATTGATGCCTATTGTTGGGAAACCTATTCACTTGATCACGTGATTCAGAACTTGCACACGTTTGACTCTGATCTTATTTCCATACTGTATCAGTTCACTAAAGTGGCGGTATCATGTAAGGAATCTTTAAGATGAGATATGATTTTGGTGGGCATGCCGCTGATTGGACAAAATACTTTTGGCGGGTTTGATGCTGGTTGGTCAAATGTTTTTGGTGGGCTCAATGCTGAGTGGTCAAATGTTTTTGGTGGGCTTGATGGTGATTGGTTGACCTAGCTGACACATATTTTATCACTTCAACCCGCCTCCGTCTCTGCCTTGTATAAATACGGGTGGTTGTCCTGTAGTCGAGTCATTCGTTCATCGAATACAGTGCTGATGAGTTGTTCTCCCTTCGCTTCCTGGAAGATGGATAACCTATACGAGCGGCGGGTGAGGAAGAATTCCGCTCTTCCTGCTGACCCTCCTCAAGTTGTGCTCTCTTCGAAGGCAGTACCGGCTAAGCGTCGCTATGTGTCACCTGCTCCTACCAAGCTCCACAAAGAGATTGTGGTAGATGGGTTTCAGGAGGACATGCAACTGTCCTACAAGTCATCAGGTAGATCCTTCTACAAGCCTGGTTATAAGATGTACTTCCCTTCAGGAGCTCTACCAGCCTGTGGTAGTACGGCTACAGCTCGCAAAGATGCTCAAGGACAGGTTTACATCGAAGTGAATGAGTCCACTGAGTTCATCATTACGAACTTGGTCAAGACTTGTCCATCGCTCCGTGACACTCTCCGAAGAGGACGTGTGGAGAAGATCAAGACCAACTTCTACCCATCACGTTCGTCCTACGGTCAATGTCGGGTGTACATCAACGGTGAAAGCAAGCTAGTCCCGACCAGCTGGTTCGAACTGGATGTGGAACAAGATGTTTTCATCTACCCCGGGGCAGTCTCCCTCGACATTGACGAGCAAGCGTTGAAGGTACGTCTTGCTGTTGCTCCAATCGTCTGCATCAACGTGGACCCCAGATGTTTTCATCGTTCTCTGGACGCACACATGACACTTTCTACCACGGAACTGAAACAGCTAACTGAGAGCTTCATATCATTATGCAGTGTCGCCGTCCAACATGACGATCAGCTGGTAGAGACCTTCCAATAAGTCTTCAATGAACTGCATTCTTTATCAGTCAGTTGATCATTCATTCTTATCCTATCCTATTTGACTGTATACTACTTCCTGCTGCAATATATCATTATAGTCAAAACTTCTAGAAAACAAGTATGGGTGGTGTTGTGTCGAGTAATACATCCACGGAAGAGTGCTGCCTTGCCTCTTCTGATTCTAGCATCCCCACTGATACTAGTAGGGTATGGGTTGCAGGATGTGAAAAGAATGGAGTTGGAAAAGATGAGCCAGGGTGATTTCATGTGCGCACCATCAAGGAATGCGTCAATCATGACAAGGTTCCATCGTGAATGTGAAGACTTCGAGACTCGTCATGCCTTTGACATGGACCATTTATTCGTTCCAGATTCACCGTTGTTTCACGAGTCTGCTAAAAAAGTTGCTATCTGCTAAAAAAAGTTGCAATGAAAAAAATAAAAAATAAAAAAAATTAAAAAAAAATAAAAAAAAAATGAAAAAATCCAAGCGCGTTTTGTACGGTCATACCTCAAAAAGAAGAAGATTAAGTTCCAGTATGAAGCTACCAAGTCCGATTTGAACAAGGTGGCGGGGCTCGAGTCTCTCAAGTGCCGGTGGCAATTCATGTTATTATTATTTTTATTTATTTTACTAGGGTGTTTCCCACAGACCATGTGTTTGGTTACGCTGCACAAGCAGCGCATTACTTTATCCCTTCCACTAATTGTTATCGGCCAATCAGCATACTCTCACCACCTCACATCCAATCAGCAGACCCCACGTCACACTAACGTTACACAAACATGTCTCATATATGCGAAAAAATGGTACTGGATCATAGCAACATCCTCCTGGGTAATGAACAAAATAACGATTAAAACACAACAACCGACAACAACCGACAACAACCAACAACAACCAAAAACAGCCAACAACAGCCAACAACAACCAACAACAACCGACAACAACCGACAACAACCGACAACAACCGACAACAACATCCAACAACCAACAACAACTGACAACAACCAACTACAACCAACAACAACAACAAACAACAACAACAACAACCGCCAACAACAAACAACAACAACCAACAACAACCAACAACAACCAACAACAGCCAACAACAACCAACAACAACCGACAACAACCGACAACAACATCCAACAACCAAAAACAACCAACAACAGCCAACAACAACCAACAACAACCGACAACAACCGACAACAACCGACAACAACCGACAACAACCGACAGATACATCCAACAACCAACAACAACTGACAACAACCAACTACAACCAACAACAACAAACAACAACAACCAACAACCGACAACAACAAACAACAACAACCAACAACAACCAACAACAACCAACAACAGCCAACAACAACCAACAAAAACCAACAACAACTGACAACAACCGACAACAACCAACAACAACATCCAACAACCAACTACAACTGACAACAACCAACTACAACCAACAACAACAAACAACAACAACCAACAACCGACAACAACAAACAACAACAACAACCAACAACAGCCAACAACAACCAACAACAGCCAACAACAACGGACAACAACCGACAACAACCAACAACAACCAACACCAACCAACACCAACCAACAACAACACCCAACAACCGACAACAACACCCAACAACCGACAACAACACCCAACAACCGACAACAACCGACAACAACAACCAACAACAACCAACAACACCTGACAACAACCGACAACAACCAACAACGCCCAACAAGACCCAACAACAACCAACAATAACCAGCAACAACCAACAACAACCGACAACAACATCCAACAGCCAACAACAACCGACAACAATCAACAATAACAACCAACAACCGACAGCAACAACCAATAACAGCATCAACAACGACGACGATAACGACGACAACAACCGACAACAACATCAACAACAACCAACAACAACCAACAACAACCAACAACAACCGGCAACAACCGACAGCAACAACCAATAACAACATCAACAACGACGACGATAACGACGACAACAACCGACTACAACATCAACAACGACGACGATAACGACGACAACCACAACAGTGTCCGGTAATGTGTGGTAGAGAATGGCAGTCAGCCAGACGGAGTACAGTTGAACATGTATAATAATAATAACACATTTCGCGTAGTTGAGCACTAAATAAAGAAATTCAGTGTTTTTCCCACTTCTGTCTTGTGAGCATCATCAGCAAGGTGTAGTAGATGCTGATTCTGATTTGTCCTCGAGTGTCGAGCTGCACAGTTTCTTCCAGTCTGTCTTGTCCTCTGCATGTTGTCGGCACCTGGAAAGGTCTTCCATGGTCTTCATGGGCACACCCAGCTTATTCAACTGAGCGACCAGACTTGTGGCTAGTGTCAACCTTGGCCGCCCACGAGGTGCTTTGTTGTCCTTGTCCAAATAGCCGCTCATGGCTACTTAGGGTGGCGTGTCCGTGTCCATCTGTAGCACATGACTGGTCATTCGTAGTCGCCTACATGCAGCTGTGTCATGTATTACTACAAGAACTCAACCAAGTCCTCAGCAGTCATGGAGTAGCGGCAGGTTAGGCAAGTAGGGCTGGGGGTAGAACTGATCCACTGCTTCATACAGTGGAAGTGAAATTCATGACCGCACTCCAACTTGGATAGAGGACGGTCCAGGGTATCCTGACAAATCACACAAATGGACTCATGACTTATTGCTGACGAGTCTACCTTAGTAGGTACTACATTGGTGTACTGCAGCTCCATGGGGTGTATTGCCTGGTCTTGATGGTGGTCACCGTAATACACCCCGTTGAGGTACCACTGATAGATACCCTCCTCCTCCTGAGAGATGAAAGCAGGTCCATCTTCCCTATGCCGAAGGTTGTATCGGTACCACTCCCGTACACGATTGTTACCTTCCCTGCGTATCACCGCTGGCGCATTCTCCCTGTGGAGCATTCCGTGGTGATACCACCGTAGAATACAGTATGTGGCGTCACAATAACTGACTGCAGGACCGCCGGCTCTAGACGCCGTTGAGGTAGTACTCGATGCTACCCCGTCCTATCCAAGCAGGTTCATTAACGCGATGAAGGCGACCTCCATAGCACCAGGCGGACACTCCCCTACTATCAACAAGAGCTGGTCCGTCCTCCCGATGGAGTCTACCATCGACGTGCCAAATTTCTTGCTGCGCGTTTTGATCTGCCAAGTCCACAACAGTTCTTATTGACGTCCGCCTTTCTATTAGTAAAGGACCCGTGGTGAGAGACCACGACCGGTCGTCCACGTCTACACCGAATGTATCAGCCATATCTATTTACTGAGAATAATGTAACAACTCCTCCACAAACGCTTCTACAACTGACGTCTTCTTCATCCCCAGATAGGCGTTAGCCTTTGGGTAATCCTGAAATAAAGATTATTATTATTATCCTGGTTTTTTTTTCCTCTTGGTGGTTTTGGATAAGAGTTGAAAAGTCCAAAAGGTCAACTGATGACCTTTGCATTACTTGGTATGATTGGATTTTAGCGGATGATGTCGTTATGCAGCTGGAGAGCGAATTCGACAGGAAGAAGGTAAAGGCCTTGCTTTGCGGTTCACACCTTCACTTCAGTATCATTCCAGTATGGCTTTCACATGTCACTGCGGTGTGGAACTTACAGGAGTTATACCCCTGTTTCAGCACCTGAGGCGGTGCGTCAAGCGCCGCCTCTTTCTTATAATATATTGTGACAAATGGTAAGTGTGCAGTGCTCCTAGTATGGCTTTCACATGTCACTGCGGTGTGGAACTTACAGGAGTTATACCCCTGTTTCAGCACCTGAGGCGGTGCGTCAAGCGCCGCCTCTTTCTTATAATATATTGTGACAAATGGTAAGTGTGCAGTGCTCCTAGCTCTCTCCCCCAACAAAAGAGCTCTATGACACTGTGCTTTCTGCGGTTTCTTTCGTTTTTACAGTGGAGAAAGGCTGGTGGGAGGCCAGGCCGTGGCCGCACACCTGGCGGGTGCGGCCCATCGAACCCGTTACTGGGAGGGCCGGCAAGTCGGGCTGCTGTTGCAGTCCGACTACCGGGACGCCATGGAGCGTATCCGGACCCTGTAAGTAAGCACTGCTCTGTCTACATGTATACTTATCCCCCTCGTTATAGCGATACTTACTTGTTTCGTATCCTCTTGTCTCACCCTGCTTCCGTATTCGTGACACTAATAGTGTTTGTGTGCGCTCATGCTTGGTTTTACAGATGATGATGATGTATGTATGAAGGTCTGGAGCTAGCTGCCGTCTTCGGGATGTGCCATTTGTTTTCAAAATTATTTGTAAGTACTTGTAACAGGCGTAGTGTAGTAACTGTGTATGCAGTGTAGTAACAGTGTGTAGTGTTTTGTGATGGTCCTGAGCGGTCGTAATGTGTTTTGTGATGGTCCTGAGCAGTCGTAATGTGTTGGGCTACTGAAGTACACTGCATGAAGGGGTATGCGTGGGTGCTTCGACATATAGAGGACTTTCCAATGAGTCATACCGTGCGGCCTATGAGGATTCGGGCCAAAGATCATCGAGTTCACCACCGATCACCGGACTTGAAACGGAGCTTGGGTGGCAAAAAAAGAAGACTGCACTGGAAAGAAACAGTGTTTTTCGAAAGAAGTTCCATTTTGCATACTGTAGTTTGAGAATACCAAAGGGCTGCTCGCGATCGGATGTTCCCACACCTGGATCGTCTTTGAGTTGTTATCGTTTTCCCTACGATGGAGAACGACGGAACCAGTGGATGACGGACACACGACTCGAGAACTTCGCTCCTTATGCAAATACTTCGAAGTACACGAATATTGTTCCATCCCTTCGTTGGCGAAGAGAAAAGTCATGATCATCCCTGTCACCCCAGTACGTATCGAATTAACTAACTAACTTGTTCAGCTCATTTGTGGCAGCACCAGTAAAGGCGGAAACACGAAGATGATTCCGAACACTATCAACTTACTTAGTTTGTTGGGGTGCAAGGTATAGCTGGAGTTTGATGATTGATAGTGCTGATGCTGATGGTAATGACTAATGTACCCAGCTCTATTATGCACGTGCCTCTACATGACTGGTGGTGCTAGCTATAGTCTAGTACTGGCCCTGGGTGCAACTCCGGCATTATCTCTTCCATGCGAGTGTGTATGCTTCATGTTCTGCACAAAGTGTATTTCCTTTGTCATGGATAAAATAATACCGGTACTCTGATCGACCTACTTGCACAATCTTCTTCTGCTTCCCACTTGGTTGCTGCGCTGTGCAGTTCTTCATCTGCTGAGGCACATACTAGTATACCTCATCTTCTGTCTTTCTGGACAACTAGGTACATGTATTCAGCTTCTTGATCTTCTTGTGGTGAGGATCATCTTGATCTTACTTCTTGTGTAACTCTTGCAAAGGCAGTAATGGAGGACACTCTACCGGTAATCAGCAACTGCTTATGGAGAATGCCAGGTCGAGGGACGACCAGGAAAAAACAATTGCTGTATTGGATGTGCATTCATCAGCGTGTTTTAGGATCAGGACAACTAAGTTCGCCACTACACCAACTTTTTGGCTACATAGGACCAATGATGATGATGGCCGTGTTTGACTTTGTCAGCTTTCGTGCTACCAGCCACCGCATGTCAACATTGTCATACTCGTAGTGACGTACTGATAAGGAAGAAAAAACCCACACACGCACGCACACACACGCACACACACACACACATGGATACACTGACAGGCATGCAAAGCAAGAGAGACAGAGAGAGAGTCAGGCAGCGAAAGAGAAGTGAGACTACTTGTAGGTTATGGGCACGGTGCTCCAATTTCTGCCCAGCTGAAGTAAAATCCATGTACACTATTTTCGTGTAGTGTTCATTGATGGTGCCAGCCACTGGTGAGTGACCCAGTGGTGTAGGTGTTGACATTCAGCACACATCACATTTCAGTCTCCAACGTAAATTCAGTCAAAACAACACTGCACTGCAGCAACATGGGAGCATGCTTCTCCCAGGCCCACCATGCAAGTGCAGTGTGCGCCAAAAAACAATTCCAGGTAATTCAGCAGCTACCCAAGGATGGACAGGTTCGGCAAAAACACTCTGCGAGTGCCTGACGTTTGCAAACGAATTTCGTTGACAGTTGTTGTTTCTTCCTTCGATTGGGCAAGACACGATAATGTGCCAACCCAGTCAGCAATGAGACACATACATTTGTATCCATCAGGGCTATTGTAAGACTTTAGAGAGTCCTTTGCATATGTGCTGGGGACATTCACTAAATATTTAGAGAGGCCTGGATACCCAACGCAGGGGGATTGGCTGAAAGGTCTTCGTCCATAGGTAAATATGGATCAATGTACTGGGCCCACGGATTCTGTCAATCTTCTCGCGGCAACGCCTCTTCAAGGCTGGAATAAACAGTAGAGTAACTGCGGCTAGTAATCCTCGCGACTTACCGAAACTATTCACCACATCAAAGAAAAGCAAAAGTGCTTCACCACTGCGACGGCCTGCAACATCATTTTCAACCGTACACCGAACAACACATTTGATTCTCTTTTTGCCACCCAAGCACATTTTACCGTAGGACACGGACTTGTCTTATGGGTGATCTTTGGGTGGACACCGGGAAGGCGCCAAAAAGGTGATGTAATGGAAAGTCCTCTATTCTCGTGCCTCCTAAACCCTAGATACGTGTATAGCACTATAACCTAGATGTGTGTGTGTGTGTGTGTGTGCCCGCGCATGCGTGCGTGTGCGTGCATTGTGTTCTCTTCTACAGACTCATCCAAGTCCATTTAAATAAAAGTGCATTATAGTAAACAGTATTGTGTTTTGTTACAGTGAATATGTGGGGAATGGTGGATATGCCTTAGTGTGACTGGATACCCGCGGGTTGTGACTCTTTGCTGGTCACTCTGGATTCTCCAGTATAGATTCGATGCAGTGCAGAGGGGATTTGTGGTGCGTAGCAACACTGCTTCACTGTGACACCCCTTCAATAATTGTTTTAATGCATGATACTCCGGGCGTAGCCGGTTGATTCTAACTGTATCCTGATCACCGAAGGATGTACCCATTCATGTTGCCTGATGATTGCGTAAGCATGAAACTTAAAGTAGCAGCAAACAAGCCTTGATTGTCCTTGTTGTTCTGTTGTGTATCCTGATCAAAATAGAAATTTGCATCTAATGGACCTGCATGGACAGTAGGCATTTCCCTAATCGGCCGGGCGAAAAATTCGCCGAAAACAGTGGTTTTGAAGAAATTACCCATCTTTTCGCCGAATTTTCAAAAATTCGCATGTTGAATTCCCCGAAAACCGAAGCTTCAGTGCTTCAACAGGGTGTATGCTTATTTATTTATTTATTTATTCAACATCTCCTGGCCCGTCCGAAGACTGCCAATAAACATGAGAGGTCAGGTGATAGCCAACCACGGCAAGCTAAAATGTAAATGTACATGACGTAATGGGAGCGGTGACTTCAAGTACTATGTTGAGCCGAATTCTGATCTTGGAGCTCATAATATGGCCGAATTTGAACATTCTCGATCGAAAAGCCGATTAGGTATGCTCTGCATGGGCAACTTGTCAATCAGTGCACATCTACGATGTGCGAATAAAACGAATGCAAGGAACGTGAACTTGTTTGCTGCACATCTACGAAGTGCGAATCAGGGAGTAGTATAATGACACGTGTACTAGTACACCTTGTGTTGCACTGCGTCTTTTCCACACGCATAGGACCACTGAAGGTCACACGCTCCGCGTGCGTATGCACGCATGCGCAATATGTCACTGCACATCTACGATGTGCAAATCAGGGAATAGTACGTATTTTACTACTCCCCGGTGCGAATGCACCGAACGTGCACAAGTGCACGTTCGCCACGGAAAAGAACATGATGACATTTATGGCATGCCAGGGGTCAAAGGTCAAACTCTGGGGAGTTCCGGGGCCAGACCAAACGCGCCCGACACAGTGTGCCTTGTTTAACCCAAAGGTCAAAGGTCAAACCCTGGGGGAAGTCCCGGGGCCAGACCCAGCACGACCGACACAGTGTGCCTTATTTGGCCCAAAGGTCAAAGGTCAAAAAGTGTGCCAGAACCTGCCCCGCACTTACTACTCACCTGGAACGACCCCTTAAACGCTGTCGCGGCGACTATCCCGTACGAGCAGCGGGTGCGCAATATCGAACATGCCTCCTTCGTCCCAGCCGTCCTGTCCACCACTGGGGGCATGAGCAGATGCGCCACTGCATTCTACAAGAGAATTGCTAGTCTGCTAGCTGAGAAGACCGCCGAGCCCTACAGCAACGTGATGGCCAACCTCCGCTGCCGCTTGAGCTTTGCATTATTGCGTGCCAGCGTCATGTGCCTCCGTGGGGCTCGCAGCACATTCACAGCTCACCTCACTGCTGATCCTGTCTCTGCTGAGGTTGTTGTTGCAGAAGCTGGCGTTGCCCGTTTTTGATATTATGGGCATGTGTTCCTGTGGAGAAGGCGGAGAGCCGGAACGCAAACAATAATTATTACTTTATCATTTTGGTTATCTTTTGTATTTTCATGACATGATTGTATGGGTTTATTAATTTTGCCCGTACAAGAGGCTTCGTAGCGGAAAAAAAAAAAAAAAAAAAAAAAAAAAAAAAAAAAAACTATCCCGTACGCGAAATAGTTGAGAACTGCTGACGTGGACCTTTTGCACCTGGAACGGCCCCGTAAACGCTGTCGTGTCGGCGGAGTGAATGTGCAGGGTACTAGGGTGAAAAGAATTGCTGCAAAGACGTCCCCTCTACTAGGCTCTAGGCCTTTGCCTTTGGAGACATCGTCGGCGAACTGAATGCGCAGGGCGAAAAGAATTGCTGCAAAGACGTCCGCTCTAGGCCTTTGGAGACATCGTGGGAACTCCTTCCGGTACTATACAAACTGCTGACGTGGCCGTGGACATGTACTTGGAGAGTCATGGTGGGACTTCATGTACATGGATACATGGTGGGAATTCCTTCCGGCACCCCCGTACCGCAAAGCCAACGGTGGGGAAGGAGAAGTGCAGACGTGCAGGAAGACGAACGAGGAGGAACCAGGACGAGCGAGCAATGGCAGGACTAGCTGGACCGTAAGTAATAGCTGAATTGTGCATGACAACTTGACATCCATGCGGCACTCGCCACTTGCCACTGCATATTTCTTGTCCACTAACAATGTCTCTCCTCTGCCCCCTGTGTGTCCACGGCCCTGTTGCTGAATTGGCCCGATGAATCGAATGTCTTCCGCAACTGGAACGGCCCCGTGAACGCTGTCGCGTCGGCGACTGAATGCGCAGGAGGGAAAATATTGCTGCGAAGACGTCTCCTCTAGACGACGGTAAGGCACCCCATTGATATGTTGCCAGTGTGTGCCAGGGTATCGCGCGATGGTGAATGAGGAATGATGAAGGGTACGGTGGGACTGTAGACCTGTTACCTTC